ACACTCTGGACTTAGTTTTTGTCTCTGGTCAGTGGTCGAGTGGCCTTGATACAGGGGATATAGTCCTCAAACCCTTGTCATGGTCTGACCACTCGCTCCTTCGACTGGACTTTCTAACCGCTGCACCCCGCCGCAGGGAGGCGGGACCGACCAGGTGGTTCCGCCCCAGGCGCCTGATGGACCCTGATAGGTTCCAGATGGAGCTTGGGCTATTTCCTGAGACTCTGGCTCATGACTCGGCTGAGGATCTGGTGGCCGCCTGGGATAGTGCGGCTGCCGGGGCCTTGGACCGTGTCGTGCCTTTGCAGCCTCTGACCCGGCACCGAACTCACCTAGCTCCTTGGTTCTCCGAGGAGCTTAGGGAGATGAAGCGCCGGAAAAGACGCCTGGAGAGTAGTTGGAGGACCAGCCGCTCCGAATCCGACTGAACACTGGTGAGGTCTCATATTAAGACCTACCTAGTGGCGATAAAAGTGGCGAAATCTAGCTATTTTGCCGCTCTTATCGCGTCATCAGATAATCGCCCGGCCGCCCTGTTTAGGGTGACCCGCTCCCTCCTCCATCTGGAAGCGCGGGATGACCCCTTGCAGGGCCGAGCTGAGGATTTCGTGCAGTATCTGTATGACAAAATCGCTCAGATTCAGGAAGGGCTGGCCTCTGACTGGGTATGTCCGGACGGGATGACTGAGGCAGGTCTTGAGAGTGTTATCTGGGGGGAGTTCGATCCTGTGGCTCCCGAGGACATGGACAGGGTCCTGGGACGGCTGAACGCGACCACATGTTTATTGGACCCGTGTCCCTCCTGGTTGGTACTGGCTTCCCGGGAGGTGACACGAGGCTGGCTCCAGAAGATTGTTAACGCTTCTTTGGGTGAGGGGGTCCTGCCGGCCGCTTTGAAAGAAGCAGTTGTGAGGCCCCTCCTCAAGAAGCCCTCTCTGGATCCGGCTGTTTTGGCTAACTATCGTCCAGTCTCCAACCTTCGCTTCGTTGCGAAGGTTGTTGAGAGTGTGGTAGCGCAACAGCTTCCCCGGTACCTGGATGAAACTGTCTATCTAGACCCGCTCCAGTCCGGCTTCCGGCCTGGGCACAGCACGGAAACGGCATTGGTCGCGTTGGTGGATGATCTCTGGAGGGCTCGGGATAGGGGTTGCTCCTCTATCCTGGTCCTGTTAGACCTCTCAGTGGCTTTTGATACCATCGACCATAGTATCATGTTGCACCGGTTGGCGGGGTTGGGGGTGGGGGGCACCGTTCTGCGGTGGTTCTCCTCCTACCTCTCTGACCGGTCGCAATCTGTGTTGACAGGGGGGCAGCGGTCGACCCCGAGGCACCTTGCTTGTGGGGTGCCGCAAGGGTCAGTCCTCTCGCCCCTTCTGTTCAACATTTATATAAAGCCGCTGGGTGAGATCATCCGTGGCTTCGGGGTGGAGTTTCATCAGTATGCTGATGACACCCAGCTGTACATCTCCACCCCAGGCCACCCCAACGATGCCCTTGAAGTGATGTCCCAGTGCCTGGAGGCCGTGCAGGCCTGGATGGGGAGAAACAGGCTCCGACTCAACCCCTCCAAGACCGAGTGGCTGTGGCTTCCAGCGTCCCGATATAGCCAGCTGATGCCATCGCTGGCTATTGGGGGCGAATTACTCGCCCCCACGGAGAGGGCTCGCAACTTGGGCGTCCTCCTGGACGCACGGCTGTCTCTAGAAGATCATTTGACGGCCGTGGCCAGGGGGGCTTTTTATCAGGTTCGCCTGATACGCCAGTTGCGCCCCTTTCTAGATCGGGACTCTCTACGCACAGTCACTCAGGCACTAGTCACTTCCCTCCTGTACTACTGCAACGCTCTCTACATGGGGCTCCCCCTGGGGTGCACCCGGAGGCTCCAGCTGGTCCAGAACGCGGCTGCGCGGGGGATTATGGGGGCGACGAGGTGCTCCCATGTGACACCTCTCCTGCACGAGCTGCACTGGCTCCCGGTGGTCTTCCGGGTGCGCTTCAAGGTGTTGGTGACCACCTTTAAAGCGCTCCATGGCTTAGGGCCGGGGTACTTACGAGACCGCCTTCTGCCACCAATAGCCTCCCACCGGCCAGTATGCTCACACAGAGTGGGCCTCCTCAGGGTGCCGTCCGCCAGACAATGTCGGCTGGCGACCCCCAGGGGGAGAGCCTTCTCTGTGACGGCGCCTACCCTCTGGAACAACCTTCCCCCAGAGTTACGGATAATAACAGACCTCCGGATTTTTCGTCGGGCCCTGAAAACTTATTTATTTCAACTAGCTGGGCTGGCTTGAGCTAAATTTTAAATTGATTTTAAATTGGGTTGTTTTAATTACGGCCAAAATATTTAATTATTTTAATACTGTTTTTAAATTTTGTATGCTCTGTTTTTACTTAGGCTGTGCACCGCCCTGAGTCCTATTGGAGAAGGGCGGTATAGAAATTTAATTAAATAAATAAATAAAATAAAATAAAATAAATACTCAGAGGGCTGAAAAAGTTATTTTTGACTGGTCCTTGCACTTTTGACCAGTTCTCGAATTTATGACTGTCCTCACATTTTACGTTTTTTGCCCTATCTTATCACCATGGTGAAAAGAAGCAGTTGTGAAATGAGTAACATGGTTGTTAAGAATGCTGCACGGGCGTAAATGTGAGGATGGTCATAAGTGTGAGGACCAGTCAAAAGTGCAAGGACCTGTCAGAAATGACTTTTTTCAGCCCTCTGAGTAGTCCCTATACACATAGCCATGGCCACCCGGTCACATGACCAGCTAGCCACCCCCACCCAGTCACATGACCTCCAAGCCACGCCCACAAAACAAGCCATGCCCACAGAACCGGTAGTAAAAAAAATTTAGAACCCACCCCTGGTTGGGGGTCACCACAACATGAGGAACTGTATTAAAGGGTCACGGCATTAGGAAGGTTGAGAACCACTGAATGCAAAAATACCTGACTCATGGAGGGAGGCGTATATTACGCTTATACCGAAGGATGATACAGACTTACAACAAATTAAAAACTATAGACCGATAATAGAGAGCTGAGAAGAGAGTATCAATTTTTGACAAAAATATTGCTCCAGAAAGGAGTGAACTACAGATGGCTGATACCAGAAAGATTGGTGTTTACATGGCAAATGCAAAGATTTAAAATAGATTCAATTGACAAAGCTAAAGCATTCCTTGTGGAATATATAAGAGAAGGGAAGATGTTGAGCCAACTAGAAGAAGAGGATCTCCTGATGATGGGAAAGGACGAGACCACATTAGAAGGCGCAGTAGGAGGTGCTATAGAATACAAAGAGCAACGTGAATTGAGACCTAATAGATCAACAAAACCAACACATAAAATATAAACATGGAGTAGAAAAAATTATTTCACAAATTGGAGAAATTGAAAATGGATATAATCTGTTTACAAGAAGTGCATATTAAAAAGCAGCATAAATTACTTTTGGTACAGCCCAAACTAGGGAGATTATTTGCTTCACTGCCACAATGTAAGAAAAGAGGAATGGTTTTGTACATCAAAGATACAATATTAGCGGAAAAAAATTATTAAGATGGAGAAGGACGAATTCTGATGGTGGAAATTGTTATGTATAAATGCCCACCATTAGCCATCCCAGGTATGATAAGGGTTAACTCTACATCCACCCAGATCCTCCCCTGACCCCTCCTTACCTCAGCTCCGCCTCCCAGGTACTTAAGACATGGTCCAGGAGTCCAGAGGTCACTTCCCAGCCAAATACCTGTAATAGAAACATTGATCAATAAAGAGCATTGATTCACTACATCCTGTGTTTGGAGTTATTGGGTAAGATCCTAGAAATCAGCCACAGATTGGTAGCAGAGGATGGTTTACCCACAACTCACAGAGATGGCAGAATCAAGAACCCAGACAGAGGCAGAGAAAAGAATAGCCACCAGCCTACATCAAGCAGATGAAAGAACTGCAGGCTCTCGAAGGTGCCACAGCAAGGACCACCACAACTGAAGGTGATGGAGAATACAACCCGAGTCCACAACCCAGGAACGAAGGGCCAAGAGAAGAAATCCACTACTGCGAAAGGGCAGAGCCACCAAGCAACGAAGAATTCCGATCACCATCCTGGAGATGATGGAAGCGACCGCCAGCAAAGAGGAGCTCATCGCGAAACTCCAAAGCCTACTCGAAAGCAATGGAGCAGCGATGAGCATCCAGCAACAGAGAGAAGAAACCCCCAGCCCGGCAAGAGGAAGGTATCCCCAAACTGAAGCTCCGACGTAGAGGATTTCATTTCCGCGCCATGCTCTCGGTGGCCATCTTGGATGGCCAACAGCCAATGGGAAGCCGAGATTCAAATCGAATGGCGGGAAACAGCGAGAACCCCAACTTCATTGGGGAAGACCCCCAAAACAACACCCAAGCAAGATCGCAAGCCTGCAGGGGCTCACCCATCGAGCCTGAAGCATACAAAACGATCGAAACCTGGCTGCAGCACTCGGCTCAACACTCAAGCCCCCAGGAGCCAGGAAGAAACAAACCGACGCTCAGCACCCCCAAAAGAGCAGCAGGGTAGCCACCGGAACCCGTTGCAGCACACTTGCAAACACCACGCGGGACAACGCACCCCCAAAAGTACACCCAAGACCCCCGCCTGCAGGACTGAATACCCGCAGGATTCGCACTCACCACCCGCTGCACCAGCTTCCCTAGGCTCACAACGACTCACCAACCATGCGGCCTCCACCAGGCTTCCTGACCCATCCGGAGGTTCTCCAGCATCGCCCAGGATCCACCGCCGCTGCCGCCACCGCTGCTGCCGCGCGCCGCTGAATCTGGGAGATCCTTGACTTACGACTGCCCTGCCGCCCCGTCCCCAGGGATCCTCGACCTGCGACCGCCTCGCCTCCTCGCCTCCTTCCACTCTTCATCCAAGATGCAGGGCCCAGCCATGGCATCCGACGTCCAGGGAGGGCTATGGGCCCGTCAGGAGCGAGCCCAGCCCCCCACCGGCAGGCCTAGGCCTAGGCCTGAAAGCAGCAACAAGGAGCTCCTCACCAGACGACCTCCAGCGCGAAATGAGCCTCGCGCATGCCCAGTCGCCACCTACAGGAAGAGAAAGGAACATAGAGATAAGTACAAGGAACATAGAGATAAGTCAGTTCAGACTGGCAACAAGCATTCCCCCAGCATATTGCGAGTTCACTCACATAAAGAAGGACATGGACAGCACCAGACTGTAAGTAACATAACTTTTACTGCTGACAATCACAAATTGAAATTAGATGGGTCCAATCTTTTGGAGTGGAACCACCAACTACAAATTGTTTTTCTGAAAGAAAATATGTTGTACTTATTTGATGACCCACCCAAGAAGCCATGGACTTTTGAGATTGACTGTTTGCACCACAGGGCTTACTATCTGTTAATGTCTAGCTTGTCACCCAGCATTTACCCCAGTCTTGGCCGCCACTTAACTGTGGCAGAGATATTACAAAAAATATTTAATTTGTTTTACAGTAAGAGTGCAGCCACTACAAGCAAGCAAAATATCCAGGGAATTTTACTCAGCCAGGCATAAGGCAGGGACACCCATGGGGGAGCATATACTCAAGCTAAACGCCACCAGGGCAGAACTCATACAAAGAGGGGAAACCATTTCTGATGATAGCATGAAAAGCATCATCATAAACTCTCTAGACCCCAGTTGGGAGAACTTTATCATGCAACTGGATAGTCTCAACATAGAACACCTCTCTTTAGAGACATTATCCAACAGGCTGATAGCGGAGGACAGCCTGAGAAGGGAGCGCTCATCAAGCCGCAGGGAGAACAGACCAATAAAAAGGGTAGACTTCCAGACCAGGGACCAAGATAAACCAGAATGTTTTAACTGTGGGTCTAGGAATCACTATAGGAGAGATTGCCCCAGAAACCAGAGGGACAGGAACCACAGCTACCGTAGGAAAGGCAAGGCCGCAAACCAGGTTACCCAGACAGGCGCTCCCCAGAAAGCAGGTTCAGGCGCAGGGACTCACCCAACCCCAGGGACAGGAGAGGATATAGGGATAGCTCCAGGGATAGTCAGACTGGGTCACTATACGAACTTAGAGACCACCAACACCCACATACCCGGGCAAAAGGAAGGAACACATGCTCATTGACTCAGGAGCCACCAACCACACCATCAACAATAGAAACATACTGGAGGCATTCACGTCTAAGGAATACTACATCAATGTAGCCAACCAGAACAAGGTATTGGTGAAAGGAGAAGGAAGTGCACACATAGATGGAATAGGGAAGATAGAGGGGGTACTATTCATCCCAGAAATACCCCCACAATATATTAGCAATGCTCAAACTAAGTAAAGACTTGGGCATTGAGACAACCTTCAGGGAAGGGAAAGCATACATGACCAAAGGAAAGAGAAGCATAGGAAAGATAATCATAGAAGGGGGACTCACCTACTTAGTACCCCAAGAGCACACAAACACTAGCTCAGAAAGTAACGAGAAAGAGACAACTACGCCCACAGAAAATAGAGGGGATGAAGGAGAACACACTGCAGGAGGCAAACCCACCACAAACACAACACACAAAGAGAAACCACACATTGGCAAACCCATTCATGATGGGTGCGCCCACTTACTACACAGAAAATTAGGCCACACTAGTTTTCCCACGGTACAAAAGATGAATGAATGCTCAAATGGCTTACCATTAAAGAACTGTAAAAATTATTTACAGTTCTGTGTTCTGTGTGTAAATGTTCGAAAATCAAAACCAAACCAAGGCCCAAGAAGGCCTCCCGCACCACCAACTCAATATTCCAATTAGTTCACATGGATGTGGTGGGACCCATGAGACCCTCTATTAAATACAAGAAGAGGTTCTTCCTAACCATAGTCGATGACTATAGCCGTTACGGATTTGTATACACCCTCAACCACAAAAGTGAGGTGTTCCAAAAATTTAAAGAGTTCTACAAAAGGGTAGAAACTCAACATAACATAAAAATAAAACAAATCATGACAGATAGGGGCTCAGAGTTCCTATCAAGGGACTTCTCCAATTGGACAAAGAAGCACGGGATACTACACTTCTCCTCTTCTCCGTTTTCCGCCATTCCAGAACGGAGTATCAGAACGCAGGAACGGCATGTTACAAACAATGGTAAGGTGCGTCTTGGAAGGCGCCGGACTAGGGCAAACACTTCTGGGCAGAGGCACTCACATATTCAAACTACACACTGAACAGAATATGGTCAAGCGTAGTGAACAAAACTCCCTACGAGGTCATGTATAATAGGAAGCCTAGATAGCCCACCTGCACATATTTGGGGTAACTGCAGATGTACACATACCCAAACAGTTAAGGAGAAAAGGGGACAAAGTGTCAAGGAAACTAAGATTCATGGGGTATGAGTCCGGAACCAAAGGTTACAGGTTCATCGACAAAGACAACAGATTTGTCGTGTCCAGATCAGCTGTGTTCCACGAGAACACAAACTGGTCAAGAATACATCTCAATGAGGTACTCCCCGGGCAAGGAACTGATGACAATGCTAGAACCAATAACAAACCAGACACAATCAAAAGCGAGACACACGAGAAACAAAAACCCAAACACAAAAGGGTAAACACCAAAGAATGGAAAGAGAACCACCCCCATCCTAAGGTAAAAGTAGATGCACTCACTGAGAGGGAGCCCAACACATGCACGACTCAGAAACAATACCCAACAGGCCCATAAGACACAACAGAAACAAGTTACCTAAGAGATTCGACGATTACATACTCTCAGTACACACAGGCACCACAACACCCAACTCCTACGAGGACATCCTTAAGTTACCACGAGAGGAAAGGGACAGATGGGAGGAGGCCATAGATAAGGAGATGAACAGCCTGAGGGAGTTGAACGTGTATACCCCATCCAGAGTGCCAGAGAACAAAGTAGCCATTGGGACTAAATGGGTTTTCAAAGTCAAAGAGCTAGAGGACAATAAGAAACTGTACAAAGCTAGGCTAGTAGCACAAGGGTTTGCCCGAGATACCCGAGGACTACACTGACACGTACTCACCCACGGTCAGGGCAGAGAGCGTAAAAAGCGCTCTGGTAATAGCCACAATCCTAGGGTTAGAAGTCTACCAGTTCGACGTGCAGACAGCCTACCTCCACGCGAAGCTAGATAAGGAGATCTTTGTCAGGGCACCCCCGGGGAGGAACACACAAGGGGAGGACACGTGGTTGCTGAACAAAAGTCTGTATGGGTTGAAACAGTCCAGTAAGAGTTGGTACGAGTGCCTAGCGAAGATCCTTAAGGACATGGGGTTCACAGCCACCTCCGCCGACCTATGCTTTTTCACCAAGAGAGAGGGCACATCCATAGAGTACGTACTCATCTACGTGGATGACATTTTATACTGTGGCCAGCATAAACAAAATTGTGACAAGTTTGCCAACCAGTTGGGGAAACATTTTGCACTAAAAACTCTGGGAAAGTTGAACAAATACCTGGGTGTCCATTGATAGAACTCAGAAAGGATTCAAGATCTCTCAAAAGGAGAAAATACTGGACCTGTTAATTAAATGCAACATGAAGGAAGCCAAGCCATGTGACACGCCAATACATATTGACTTCCTGAAACACATGAATGAGGAAAGCGAGACCTTCAAAGACAATACCCTCTATAGGTCTGTTGTTGGGTCACTACTGTATATAGCTAATTGGACTAGACCAGACATCCTCCTGGCTGTCAACCTGCTATCCAGACATGTCAGTGATCCAAAGATGTATCACTGGGAGGAAAACGTGTGCTCAGATATCTAAAACACAGCATGGACGCATGCCTGAACCTAGAACCAGAGATGTCCAAAGAACCCATACTAACCTCCTATGCAGACGCTGACTGGGCAGGCGACACAAAAAGTAGAAAGAGCACATCCGCTACGTATTCCTCATTAACGGCTGCCCAGTACACTGGTACACTGGAAACAAAACCTGGTAGCCACCTCCACAGCTGAGGCAGAGTACATCTGCCTCTCCAAAGCAACCAATAACCTGACATGGTTTGACGATCTACTTACCAGCATATGGACCGAACTGGCCTATCCGATAGTAATACATGAGGACAACAAGGCAGCCACAGACATATCCATGGCAGAAGCAGTAGGCCAAAGGTCCAGACATATAGACATTAAGCACAAGCATGTCAAAGAATTAACGAACATTGGTTTTATTAAGGCTGTACATTGTGAGACCGCCGAGCAAGCCGCAGACATCCTGACCAAACCTCTACCCAGCAAACAACATGCTTACCTTACGTCTAAATTAGGGGTACGGGTACAGAACACACAAGCAGGTCCAACTGTTGGGCATTTAGAGGGGGATTTGTTATTTATAAATGCCCACCATTAGCCATCCCAGGTATGATAAGGGTTAACTCTACATCCACCCAGATCCTCCCCTGACCCCTCCTTACCTCAGCTCCACCTCCCAGGTACTTAAGACATGGTCCAGGAGTCCAGAGGTCACTTCCAGCCAAATACCTGTAATAGAAACATTGATCAATAAAGAGCATTGATTCACTACATCCTGTGTTTGGAGTTATTGGGTAAGATCCTAGAAATCAGCCACAGAAATGACAGACAATAACAGGAAAATATTGCTAACAGCGATATATGCTCCTAGTGACAACCAAGAAAACTTTTATAGAAAATTACATTTGAAATTAATAGAGCTGGACTACGACAACATCTGTATGAGGAAGACTTCAATGGAATAGTAGATGAGAAAATGGACTATAATACACAAAAGACAACAAAACAAAGTAGGAAAACTTTGCCGAAATCTTTTTTTAAGATGATAAAGGAAATAAATTTAAAAGATATATGGAGAGAAAGAAATGCAAAAAATAGACAATATACTTTTTATTCCAATAGACATTTATCATGGTCCAGAATAGATATGATATGGTTGACAATGGACTTGACCTCGAACATAGAAGAAATAGCCATAGAGGCTAATACTTGGGCAGATCATAATCCAATGATGATGAGATGGAAAGGGCAAAGGAGAAGGTCCAGATGGACTTTAAACACTACAATATTAAAAGAAAAGGACTTCCTACAGAATATGGAGAAAGAATTAGATTTTTTTTAAAGAAAATAGAAAAGAGGATACATCACTGCAGAATCGATGGGATACCATGAAAGCCTATGCCAGAGGCCTGATTATTGACTATACAAGGAAAAGAAATATTAAGAAAAGGCAAGCATATAAAACTTTAGAGGATGACTATAAGACATTGGAAAAAGAACTGCAGAAGTTCCCACAAAAAAAAAGATATTAAAATGAAAATGGACATGATTAAACATAAAATGGGATTATTAGAGAAAGAAGAGCTAGCACAAAAAATCAGGAATGCTGAACAGAAATATTTTGAAGATGCTAATAAACCAGGCAGATGGCTAGCATATAAATTGAAAAAAGAAAGAAACTCAAGGAAAATAACACAGCTAATAGATGATTAAGGACAAATTAGATTTGGAAATGAGGAAAAGAAGAACATTGTACAAGACTATTATAAAAAATTATATGAAAAAGAAAAGATAGAAGAGGAAAATATTAAACAATATTTACATAAGGCGAATTTACCTCAGATTCCAAAAGATGTTGAGATGATGTTAGAAAGGAATATAACAAAGCAGAATGAAAACCGACCAGTTGACACACAATCTGTAGAAAGGAAACCAGGATGGAAGTCAAACCCACAAAAAAAAAACAAAAAAAGAAATAGGTTGTACAAAAATAGAAATTTCTAACCCAAGCAACAGTGAAGCCAGTGACTTTAAAATATGAATGATTATGTGAAAACATAGAGGAGGCGACATATTGGTCAATATTATCCTGAGGATAGTGGCAGATCTCTGCATTGCTGTAATTTTGGGACGTGGAAAGAGCCTCAAACTGATGGATTTGAATTATCTACTTTGAAATTTCTTTTTGTGTTGATAAATATATTATAATTATCTTGAATCATAAGGCAAGAGAATCATGCTGGGGCATGCAGAAGATCCGGTTGTTACCCACTACGACGATGATGGAAATCAATAATCCTGATGAAACCCACAATTATTATTATATGGAATATAATCATAATGTCACTCGGGTGGTTGTTTTTACTTTTATACATATAAGAAGATATTTACTACTGATGGGGGCAGATATGATTGAAGATTTTGAATAAACTGTTGCATCAGCAAGCTATGTTACCCTATTATGGATGTTGGTTTTAACAATCCAGTGGAAAGACCTCAAAGAAGATATTATATGGACTATAAAATTAAAGTTATTGTCTTTTCTTTTTTTTTTATTTAGATATAATGGAATATATATATTATATATATATTTAAGTAGTGTGGGCAGTGAATTAAAGATATTAAGAATTGTTGTGTATGGTAAATTTGCAGGACAGTGGGTGAATAAGCTAGCTACAGACTGATTAGTTTAAGAAAAGGGATTTTTAAGTGATACATTTAGGGGAGTGGAGGAAATGGATAGAGTGGAATAAATGTTAAATTAGATTTTATGGGAGGCCGCTTTGAAATGTTATAGTAATATATATAGAAGATTAAATATTAAAGTAGGACTTATCGTATAGTTTTAAAGTGGAAGGTGGTTTTGAATTGTTGTAATAATATATAGATATAAAACATTATTATGTTAAATTAGAAGTTATTTTACAATAGTTATAGTATAATGTTTTGTTTTGTTTTTCTTCTTCTTTTCTGAAAAGTATGGATAAAGGGGGATGTTATAATATTTATAATATTTTTAGTAAGTAAAGGTCAGTATTTTGAGGAGGGAGTAAGTAATCTGTTATGAATTAGGGTTTTTTTTGTTACGAAGAAGTCACAGGGGGGGATGGGTGGGGAGGGGGGGTTAGGGAGGGGGAGGGGGAAAAAAAGGGCGGAAAAATTTGTATTTGAAAACTTTTTCAATAAAAAAAAAAAAAAGTGGGAAAGCACCAGGTCCAGATGGATTACCGGCGGAATATTATAAGACTTTGCAGGAATCACTGAGTCTCCCATTACTAGAAATAATGAATGAAGTAATGTTACAGAAGAAAATACCCAACTCATGGTTAGAAGCATATATTACACTTATTCCAAAAGAAGATACTGATCTACAACAAGTCAAAAACTATAGGCCAATATCCTTTTTAAACTCAGACTATAAAATCTTCGCTACAATACTAGCAGAAAGACTTAAAAGATATCTAAATAATTTTATACACCCGGACCAAAATGGATTTCTGCCAAAAAGGCAGATTAGAGATAATTTGAGGATAATTTTGGATACATTGGAATATTACGATGCGCACCCAGAAAAGCAAATGGCTTTGATGTTTTTAGATGCACAGAAAGCCTTTGACAATGTGAACTGGCAATTTATGATACTACAATTGAAACAGATGAGTTTTGGAGAGAAATTGTTCAAGCTATAGAAGCTATACAAATAGCAAAAATAATGATGAATGGAGAGATGACAGAATCTATTGAAATACAAAAAGGAACGAGACAAGGATGTCCATTGTCACCATTGTTGTTTGTGTTAAAACTAGAAGTACTAAACAGAAATATCAGAGAAGAAAAAGGAATAAAAGGAATGAAAATTCAAAATCAAGAATATAAATTGCAGGCATTTGCTGATGACCTGGTGTTTATCTTGAAAGGAGCACTTCAATCTGTAAACAAATTGATAGATAAAATAGGAGACTTTGGGAAAGTGGCTGGTTTGAAAATAAATAAAGATAAAACGAAGATGCTGACAAAAAATATGTTAAAAAAACAGAAAGAAGAATTGGCGGAAATATCAAGGATGCAGGTCACGAATAAGGTTAATATTTGGCAATACATTTGACAGCAAGATGTGGTACTCTTAAGGAGAATAATTATGATAAGCTTAAACAACAGATAGCGACAGACCTAACAAAATGGGAGAATTTGCAGCTATCATTGATAGGGAGAATATCAACTATTAAAATGAATATACTGCCCAGACTTTTATACTTGTTTCAGACAATTCCAATTAAGTTGGGGAAAAATGTTTTGAAGATTTAAATAAAATGGTGTTAAAATATATATGGCAGGGCAAAAAGGCAAGGATAAAACTAAAATTGATGCATGTTAGATCAAGAGGAGGTTTTGGTTTGCCAGATTGGGAATTGTATTATCAAGCTTGTAACTTGATGTGGATTAAAGAATGGATAACACTAAGGAATATTAGATTGTTGACCTTAGAACGACATGATTTACTGTTGGGTTGGCACGCTTTTATGTGGTATAAAAATACAAAAGTACAGGGTTATTTCAGAAGACATATGATACGAGAGTCTTTGTAATTAAACTGGGAGAAGATCAAACAATGTTACTACTTAAAAATTCCAGTCTGGTTATCACCTATTGAAGCAGTTTCATACGCAATAACATTTAGGAAGGAATAAATTGTTAGATATGGTGAATTATTAAATGAAAGGGGTGAACTTAAGTCGAAGCAAGAATTAGAAGAACAAGAGCTTGAAATGGATGGGACTTCCGGTTTGCTGTTTGTTGCTGCCAGACGTTCCTTTGGGATCGTCAGCTTCCACCGCCTGTCAGAGCCGCCTTCACAACGGAATGGCGGCTCGAAAAAACTCTGTTTCCATGAGGAAACGGAGATAGAGCCGGCAGGGGTGGTAGAACTCTCTGCGGAGTCCCAAAAGTTTTTCCTTTACTTTTGGGACGGAGCGGATGAGATGCCCCGTATCCCCAGCCGCTGCTCCGGGCTTTGGGAGACCTCTGCTGATGCAGAGCCAGGCATCAAAAGCAAGCCTGCAAATTTAACAGATTACTCAAAGAAATGTGAGCTGGACCTGTAATACTGAACCGCAAGTATTTTACTGATTTTTTAAAAAAAAATTACTTAAGAGAGAGGAGGAAAAGAAAGAGGAAAAAAAGCCTTTTAAAATGGCGTCGGCTGGAGGAGAGGCTGAAAGGGAAAGTCCTTCCGTTTTCTATTACTACAATGTAGCGGAATAAATACCACTGGCTACATTTGTAGACAAAACTTCGCTCCTGTGTCTTTTTCTCTTTTTTTTTTTCCTCTTGGATCTGATATTGTTGTTGACTGGAAAGAAATCTTTCTTGCTTTTTTTTAACAAAGCCTGCCTGGGCGGAAACGTGGCACTGAGACTCATAAAGTCAGATAAACAAGAAGGGGGGGGATTCCCCACCAATAATTTAAAGGAACAAGTCTTAACTCTTCAGTCTCAGAAACCTGATTTTAATATAACAGAATTTTTTATAGAGGAGATTGAAAGAAGGGAGGAGATTGTGAATCAGCAACTTGAAAAATTTAAGCAGGAAATTAAAGAAATTAAAGAATTGGTGAAATCTAAGTTTGATTCTTTGGACAAAAAATTCTCAAAAGTGGTTAATGGTTTTACAGAATTTATGATACAGTTGGACACAAATACTAATGTACTAGAGTCTAAAATGGAAGAAAT